ATTCATGGGCAATCACTATTTGACTGACCACTCAAATAAAGTATCAAGTGCAGCCAGTAATCGGTCCGCATCGTCCAGACAGGATACCACCATTAACCACTTCAAGACGTCCGCATAAACCCCGCAGTCCGACTGAAGTTCCGACAAGATCTCATTGATAAAGAGCTTGAAGTTTTGGGCCAAGGTCCTATCCCTGCAGGACACCGCTAGTCCTGAGCTCAGGAGCAGAGTTATTTTCGTTCACGTTGACTCGCATAGTCCGGTCATCCAAAAAAGCAGCGATCCAAGACAGTACCTGCCCCGAAACACAGATTCCTGGTAGTATATAAAGCTTTCATATGGAACCTTTTCAAATGCGTTGCTGAAGAGGACAAAAACAACCGCGCGGCGTTTTGTACAACTTTAATGGGCCACAAGCAGGTTCAATTAAATTGAGCGTGCCAGCCGCAAACAATGTGGAGCACAAGGGATGACATCTACGTTCGCGAGGTGCAGAAATGCCCGCTTGAGAATCCGCTCTAGCACCTTGCACAATATTGATGTTAAGCAGCTGGGTCGATAATTGGCAAGATTTTGACGATGCTCTCCTTTGTGTATAAGTTTAACAACCTCCACTTTCCAAGCAATAGAGAGCTGTCCAAGTTCGAGGGAATAGTGAAATACCCGGCAAACAGGAGCGGCGATGTTATCGGCCACAGTCTTGAAGAACGGCGGATGCAACCTATCGGGAGCCGCCGTTGAATTCGGATCTAATTCACGAAGGACTTTGGCAACATTGTCATTGCTCAGTTGTATGTGCCCTAACGAATAGTGGTGTATTGGCCCAGCTTCACTTAAAAACTGCGCCTTCATCGATTAAACTGATGAATATGACTTGGCCGGCAGCTTTACTTTCGCAGCGTCATCGTCAAGTAAACAGACGTGCGCCAAGGAATACAGAGCAGGAATAACACATTTGCTCTGGTCCTTCCCTTCAGGGAAGGGAAGTGTGTCGTGCCTCCCGGCTTGGAATGCACGGCCAAGCAGAGTTCGTACTTATGCTGTTTCTCTCATTTTTGCAACTTGCCGATATTCCTTGTCACTGTAGATTCCGAATAGTCGGACTCCAAAGCAGACCCAGAGTTTCCATCTTTGTTTATTAGACCCCTCAATTCTCAAGTAATCCATGGTAGATCTCCGGCAAATGAAGTTTTATAGACAGGTACGACCGACTCAAATCGCGAAGGCAGTTTGGAGTACAATAGGTTCCCCTCATCCGCCAGTTCCTGGTTTCGGTTATACTCCAATCCACAGTACCGGCGACCGTTTTTAGGCGTTGGGGAGCAATACGCCGGAAATTTTTGCTGAGTCAACTTTGGTTGTGAAGAGTAAGGCGTCCATTCCAAAAGAATGAAACCACACATTAATCGCTTTTACCAATGTGCTGATGGACAGCTAGGCCGTTGAACTTTGATAGTGCCGGGGAGAATACAGAGTTAAGAATATGGGGTATTTGTCCTGCAGTTGTACGAGTAGGCATAGTGTCAATTCGGAGTAAGGTACCTTTGAGAACCCACTTTAAAAGAGCGAACGCAAAAGCGTTGGTAGAGAGAACACAGTGCAGTAGGTCCTAGTCGAATCCCGGGGTATCGAAGTTTCTTAGTAATAAGCGGTCCTTGTCCCCACCATGCAGTTTAATCGCGTCCAGCAGGCAAGCTCTGGAACCCAATGGGGCGCTGTAGACAGCACCGACCATAAAGTGATCTGCATCCGTCATGAACACGGCACAAGAGAGTTCACCTTTAAGACGATGAGCGCTTAAGAGCATGCGACGAACTTCATCATCGCTTGGACATACAATCTACAAGAGACGTATCTTAGCGGAGTTTTCCTTTTTCTTTTCAAGTCAGCAAGCGGAGACATTGTTGATTTCTTGCGCACCTTCGTCGAGCGGCAAAGAGATTATCGGTTTTAGAAACACGATGATTTATATGCCTTTGAGGTGGAGTGGTTTTGGAAGAAGCAGGAGTATTTATGGTGATTAGGCAACGGCCACCAGAGCGTGATTTCTTGTTATCGAGCAGCTGCGGCTTGATGGAAGGCAGATAATTCCTAAGCAACTTTGCCAGCTGCCGGACTCTATCCAGATCCAGCTACAACCGCGAGTGTGAAGACAATGGTTTAGGTTGCACCTTGACATTTCCGTTGCCTTAACTTTCAGCCACTCCTACGGGCGAGGGCAGTCGCGCACATTTCTTCACTACGGATGCCTAAGCCTTGGTATTTAGGGCTCCACCGTGCTCAACCGCCGTCGGCTTCGCAGCTATTGCGGAGCAATGCGCCCGGCCCCGCTTACCAGTGGGGGTGACCGGGCCAGAATCATATGAGGAGAAGCTTAGGGATGTAAAGGAGGAAGTACCGATGGTTGCCTCGGTATAATCAAAAGAGTAACGCTGCTTCAGTGCAGGAACTCTAAAACACGGTGCACTGTCGGTACCTATCTTTTTGCTGGGGTCCAGCAGGCCAGGATGTACACGTCGCTGAGGGCAGCGGAGCATTCCTCCAGTTTGCACAGAATGCAGGCGTGCCGTACGTAGACTGGTTGGAGGTAGACCATTAGAAACGCGACCGACACAGTCCAGCGTGCCAAGAGTCACAAATGAAGATGAGTTCTAGTGAAGCGGTCCTCTGCAGTGGATCGTACAATACCCAGATTGGTGTTACAACATGCAATGTGCAGCCATCCTTTGCAGGAAGAACATTGAACAGCCTTCGACCGAGAAGGAACGGCTTTACAACAATCCAAGCGTTTGTAAGACCTCGTATCCTTTATTCGGTAACTTCAGAATGAACATTTAAAGTCGCAAAGAAACACAAAGGAGCTTGCTATACGCAGTTCTATAAGCTAGATTGTGTAATGTTACGTGCATTGCCATTTTGGACCATTCGGCTCCATTCGTTCAGATGTTTCGGTGCCCATTTTGCGATATTTTACGGTGACGTACAACAAAGATACTCTCCGCATTCATCTGCTGTCTCCACTCCACCTAACGTGCTTTTTTATTTACTTTAAGTATATTTGCACCCATTTTATTGACACTGCACCGATGACTTTGCTCCTCATGAGTGGTTCGACTGTTTCTGCAAATTGTACAAAGTTTGCACACAGCCAATTACATGCCGTGCAACGTATCTGTTGCGCCACATAATTGATTGTAAATTCTAATCATACCTGATGTGGTATGGCTCGACGAATTCGAGAATAAAATAGTTATTTATTTATTTATATCGGTGATACAGAGGATTCTCTCAGGCTATAGCAGTTACATTATGTTAACCCACCAATTTGTATTTGACTGCTAAGGAAAGACGGAGTAGTTGTACCGACATTCCGGAAGGCTTCCATCCAGTACCGCTGAGTTGAAGCGCAAGGTCCAAAGTTGGAGGCACAAGGCAAGCGCTTGACTGTTCTGTTTTACTTGTATGTTCAGGTGGCGATGCTATCATTCCAATGCTCGTTTTTCAGTGATCTCGCCCGGCGACCGATACGAACTGGGTTTATGGAGGATCGTTCATTCGTACATTTTCCACCCCTGGAACACGTGGTTGTATCCTGGCAATCCCGAATGATGGGAAGAGTACGCAACCCGCAATAAGTGTTGCGCTTTTAACGAATCAGTACGGATTTCGTCTGAATTATCAAGATTTGCTTGCCATACGTCGTCGCTGTCCTAAGAGCAATAGCTGTGAAGTGGAGCAAGTAATAGGCTTGTTGGAAAGTATTGGTATTTGCAGGATGCTCCCTTAGGCCTCGGAGGCAGGCCCGTGATTTTTGTGCCGTCAGAGAGAGCGCTGCTTGCGCGGCATTACAGGGAAGTGATTTTGGCGAACACAGCGAACCAACTGAACTACGTAGACTATATCTTTTAGCATTAAAATGTGTGTGGATTTCCCTGTTATTTGCATATCCTTCCTTTGCACCTAGTTAAGGTGTAAGGTTTCACAGTTCTGGACAGGCGGTTGAAGCCATGAAGGAGAGGCTACCACGCACAGCACACGTATATGCGTTGGTGAAGGATAAGTGCACGGCCCAGTTTTCTACCCTGAGGGCTGTATCTCCAGGCGCATCCACAGTGTTTCGTCGATTCCACCTAATGCGAAACATGAGTAGATGGGTTTCGCATTTCCAAGGGTTTGGTACCGCAGAGAAGACGCTGCTACAGCATTTGTGGTAAATGATAGTGTGCACAATGAAATTACATCCAACTTCACAGCATCCTTGAGAGCATCAGGGGGTGGAACGATGAATGTTTTCCGTAGCTCTGGCGTACATAATTGCCGTGTACTGCCGCTTGGGTAAGTCATCAGCTGCGGTACTTTGCCACACAACCAACACGGCGGAAATGGGTACCTGCACATCAAGTCACCAATGAGTAAACGTGTTTCGCTGTTAACGCTGTTCAAGGTTGTGCTGGAATGTCTTTCTGGGGTGAAAGACATAATTACGCAGTCGATAATCAAGTGCCGAATGAGCTTTTACACAACTTCATATCGTATGTCTAGCTAGCTTCGTCGTTGGCGAACATGTATAGTAAGGCACTTTGGCCTTTCGGCTCTCATGATCGGCATGTATCCGTAAGCGGCGCTACGGAGTTAACTGGATGCAACAGGTTTGTTCATGACATTCCAGGTTTGGAGTACCATGTCTACATATATGAGGGCAGCGCATGCGCCTACACATTCCGGTGGTAATGGTGCTTGCCCTGCGGACAAGTTCGGAAGTCATATCTGTTGACCGCGTGGCGCTTGGTTACAGGTGGCTACCAGGGCGGCGGAACGAAGGTGTCATGGAGGTGGTGGAGTTAGGTAGCGGGGGTGTAAATTTCGCGGCAGTTCCAGTATCGTGCGGTTAAGTGGTTATTGGGACGCCCGAGCTGTAAGTTTGTGTGGAATTCCTCGTTGACATAGCAGCAAACATATACAGGTTCCGTTTGGAAGAATTTGCACACATTATAAACGTCATGCGTAACTGGCGGGAGATCATGGCGGCTAACTTGGAAATTGAACTGCATTGCAAAACCTCTAACTGTATTACCGCTGTAAGTTTTCATGGAGGTACCTTGACCAGGTTACCTTTGGGCGCCCCGCATGATGCAGCGGCTGACAATGGTGGAATGGTGGTAGTTTGTGGGACATCGGAACCTAGTGGGCGTGAACCGCTTGCCGGTCCAAGCACATCTGCATCTTTGGAATATCCGCCGGTTCCCGCTGCAGCCGAACGTCGCATGACATGTAAACGCAAAGCTCCTCTGACGCTGCTGCGCATGGGTATTCCAGCAGGCTGCAGTGAGCTGTGCCTCGCATTTCGGAAGGCCGCGTAAGGCCACCTCCTCCAGATGCCTCCCACACGCTGGGAAACATGATATGGTTGCAATGCATATCTGCAGCTATGTTTCCACAAATGGTATCAAGAGGGATCCGAAACTGCGTGTCGCGGAAGTCAACTGTGTCATGTGTAACCAATGCCAAAAGTGGTTCTGTAAAAGGGGCATAGATTATCATGTTGAGAGCAGGTTCGCTTGTGTTTTCTGCTAGTGGTAAGTACGCATTCATATACTACCTAAATTATAGAAATACTCCCGGCTTATTTGCGTATGTAAGCTGCAATGCTTGCAGCACAGCGCCCAAAATAGAATCGTTGTCTGTTGTTAGCAAATGGAGCTCAAAACATGGTGAGGCATCATCGCTATCCTATACCTGCCCGTTTGTCTACCTTCCTTAAGGATACCACCATTTGTCGAACATAAAATAATTAATTATTTATTTATACCCTCAGTCGCTAAACTTATGACGAAGCAATGGCTTTGAAGGATACACGATACCGCCTGCAACATGAGTGAATCGTTGCTACTTTCGGGCACTATTTTCGCTACGACATGAAGCGTGCAAACGCTAGCATTCACCTGCTGAGGTAGGCTCAATACCCATATCCTGATGGCCTGCATGACGGCCATTACATTCGGCGTCACCAAGTCATGATGTTCATACCTGTTTGGCGGAGCCGTTTCTCTCCTCCCCGCAGGCACTACCTTGGGTTTGCTTAAGTGCTGTGCGATACCCTGCCTGTTTTACGTACGCAGTTTCCTTGTTACATGCTCAAAGTCACACGTTTATACATGTGAATTTCTATTGTACCAGACGCATCGTAAGACTCAGCACCTTCCATTGCAAGGAGACGGAATGTTTACTTGGCTCGCTGCTTTTTGCACGCAGGTCATGTATTGGACTATACTACGTGGAACGGGGGTATTGCTTCAGAGGCAATGGAGGCGAATTCGTCTATGGTAACCGTACTGAGTAAGTGTACCTCATAATGCAGTAGTCAGCGCACGTTGGAGAAGAAAATGGGCCGTGTTCCTTTGGAACCAAGACGCAATACAACAGGTCCAGGGGTCATAGGCGGCGTCAAAGTCAGGCACCTCAGACCACAGCTTGAGGTCGTCGGCATAGATCAAGTCTTTAGTTTGTAGTACTGCAGGCAGATTATGGATATACAACTTGAACTTTTCGGTCCTCAGAACAGGACCCTGTGGAACCTTACTTGGCATGAGCACTTACGTAAAAAGCGACTCCTTCACTCACGCTTGCAAACTCTGACGTTAAAACCTGTCCGTAACACCATCTCCCACATGCTTCCAAAGTAGTCGCTGGTGTGAGACGTGGTCTAACATCTTTCAAAAATCGACAAACCACTACCTCTACGGGTCAATCGCGTCAACTGACCTCGGCTACAAGTCGCCTGACACTAGTAGGTTGGTGGAGCGGGAACGGCCCTTCTGGAAACCAAGCTGGGTAGAGGAGATGAGATCATGTTCGTCGCCGTGTCCATATAAAGTGCAATTGACGATACTTTCTATGACCTTACAGACGGTTGCTGTCATGTGGATCGTGCCATGGTTCACAGGGTTTTGGCGCCTTAACCCCATGTAATTAAGCATGACGCTCATAGTATTCCTGTCGATTGGTAATTGACCAGCCTTAAATGATTGCAGTAAAACTGGGCAGATAAGTGAGGAAACATGGCCATCCACTGTCTGGGGCAACAGGAAATATAAACCGTCCAGGACAGGTGAGTAGGCTGTGTTTATGTTAAGCAAAGGGTTCAAAACGGTTTCTGCGCTGCATTCAACAAGTTCAATGGCGTGGGGGCGTGGGCTCATGTACATTGGTCGACTGAGCCTGTGGTGCGTATACGGACTATTGCTGAACAAGTAGATTCGCTTTTCCGTCGGTTTAACACAGCGCGCTACCTATCGCTCTGGATGACGGTGCGAGTATGCCTCAACCGGTTTTAGTTATCTAGTTAAGCGTATAATTCTTCTAGTCTAGCGGCGAACGGTTCTGCCAAACTAAGTTCAAATTGCTGCCTTTAGGCACACTTTTCATGGGAGCAAAGGTTTTTACGTGCCCCTAGTTCAACTACTCGGAGGCCGGTTGAGATAACTATAACTGGTCCCATAGTTTTGGTCACTGATTCATTAAAGCTGCAGGCTTCCAACAATCATAAGGTGCCTCCCGTGTGGGGCTGCTTTCTATTGGTTAGTAAATCCTATTCTATCAGCACCTTTATTTTAAAGCGTTGTAGATTAAAGACACCATAAACATCAAGATCTTGAGGGGTGGTCCAGCCCTTGGTGCCAACCACGGTAAAATGACGAGAAGGATTGGTGCGCCAGAACTTCCGACCGCACAGTCTTCGGCTGTGAGTGACTAGGTGCTGCATCCAGCTCAGGCAGTGCGTGCAGTGCTTCCTATGGCTAATAGGTAGGAGAGGGATTGGCTCGGAGACGTACGTTAGTGTCAATATCAGCACAAGTTTGGGGCTGTGCATTAACTTACCCGGAAGTTGCAGGGAACCGTTAAATGAGAACACTAAATCAAGTAAATGTTCGCTTCACCACACACAAGGCGGTCGTGGATAGTTTCAGCTTCTGGCGATGTTAAATCGCTACATAGGCCGAGATGGGCGCACGTATATTCCCAGGTTGTAGCAGTCAGGCAGCTGAGAGCAACAATACAACAACAAACCAGTGGCAACCATGGATGAAGCACGTATGTCAAGTTTGGGACCGTCGTTGTATGTACGGTTAATCAAAACAAAACGGCATTGTATTGCAGCAAAATGTGGAAGTGTGAGAATAAAGGACGCAAAATTTTCCTTTGGCTACAGCACACTCTTTAACGATTCCACTGGTAAGGAGCCTCCACAAGACCCTGATTACGTACTGACCAAGCTTGGGCGGAAGGAAAATTACCCTACCGAAGCGTGCATGTGCGCAGAGTTGTGTGTGGTCGAAAGGTGAAAATGATTTATTATACTGGCGTCAATAGGTTGTTGGGTTGGGGCAAGAGGGAGCGACTAGGGTGTTCCAAAGATAGGCAACCGGTTTGGGGTTAACAAGGGCTGACTCGACGTAAGCCGGGTTAAGACGGTCGATGTTTAAGGAATCCTTTGCTCGATTCTCTTTTAAAAAGAAAAAAATAAATATATAATTTACTGTCGGCTACGCGCGGCACGCTTGCGTAGGCATGACACTGGTAAGCGTACAAAAGCTGGGCAACCAATATACAGTGGTACAATAGGGTCAACACATGTGTAGGTAAATGAAGGTATGTATGTGTGCACGTATGCAGGTGCATTTGTGTTTATAAATAAACCAATAAATATTTCTATATGCTTTCCTGTTCTATTAATCCTGTCGCCAGTGAGACAGGGATGTTTGATGCATTCGGAATTGAAGCGGCTGTCCGCAAAGGCAAGGTGGCCAAGTTAGTTGGGGCTAGACAGAAAAGCCGCGTCACAGGGTTGTAAAGCGGATATTTGTGACTTTTGTAGGCAGGAAACTTGCCAGGCGGAATACAACCATGTTCTGTTACTCTGCTGCCGGAACATTTGCTTGAACGTGGCAAACCCGAGCCACCCAACTGGCGCCAAAAGGTTGTTCTGCTGGCCAGTTATGATAACGGCCTTTATAGGGCGGAGTCAAACGTCTTCAGACAGAATCGACACGGATGTGGACAAACGGACAATGGTGCAAACCAAGACGCATGTGCTGCTTATGTCCTTTAGGTCGCGTAGAATTCGGTAAGCTGGAGCGAAAGTTGGTTTGAGTCCTTATCCATACGACGCGGGTCTAGTTCTCCCTGCTTCGACAGGCAAGTATTATTACACCAGGTACTCTGAGGGTCGTAACGATCACGAACTCTGCAAGGGTGTACACAAAGTAAGTTGGGTGAAGTATCCGTAATGATGGCTCTTCATTGTCCATGAAATCATTCGACCATGTCATTAACGGTTGAAGGATATGCATTTGTCCGCGTGCAAGCAAAACGTAACAGACAACTAAAAGCACGAACCAGGGTGAAACATAACTGGGACCCGCTGTCGGTAGTGGCGGTAGCTAAAATTCCCTAAAAGAGAAATCCAGTGTTTAACATATTCACGAGCCACAGATTTAGTGGACGTATCACGCAGAGGAAAAACTTGTAGCCAACTGGTAAAACAAACGACGTGTCAAATGACAACTGAAACCTTTGGAAGTAGGTTATTGCCCAGTTATATCCACGGAAACGTGTCCAAAAGGTGCATCCGGGAGTGACAATGCACTTGGGGTGGTGACAGTGTGCCGAATTTTACTTGGCTGCCACTTAAGACAAAGTTTATTCACGTCAAATGTCCAAACGCATATTGGGCCAGATGAACCGGTCAGTAATGAGCTTTATAGTAGATCGAATGCTTGGATGTGGAAGGCTGTGAAAATGACCAATAAATGGCCCGTCAAAACGATTGTGGGACGAAACATCTGGGCTTACTAGATGCAATATCATAATAAACACTTGGTTTAGAGTTAAGCGCAAGTAAATACGCGGCTTTTATTGGGTACATGGAAGGCAGTTGGTAAAGCTCAGGATCTTTGGCTGGTGCGGCGGATATACTCTCCAAGTCGCTGGGTGTCGGTGACAGTTGCTTAAGCTGAGCAAGCCATAATGCATCCACCACGGTGTTTTTCATACTTGCAATTTAATAGAAGTCTACACAAAACTGTGAAAGCTATTACAGATGACGCGCTTCTCGGGGTTATTAACAGTCCAAAGTAGAAATTATAGCGTACACCCGAGGTTTCTGATCTGCCAGAGGAATGAAACAGCGTCCCTCAAGAAGGTGACGGAAACGTCTCACAGCCAAGTACCTGGCGAGAATTTCACAGGCAAAAGTCCTATACCCGTACTGAGCAGGTTGTAGCTTCCGCGAGAAGAACGACAGTGGTTGAATCGTTAACGATCATCTGTTACAAGACTGCACCGGTATCGGAACTTGAAG